CTCCCGCGTTGGTGCGTGCTAGAGCTGGGCCTCGGGGTTCGCCTGTGGACTCCGCCTGCTCTCTTCCCGTGCTGGTCCGGCGCCCGACCACCACCCGCCGCCAGCCATGGGCGGGCTCGAGGAGATCAGGAACGAGGCCGTCGATCTGGTGAGAACCGCTCCCGCTCCCCCCCTTCTCTTCCGATGCCCCGTCTCTCGCCGTGATGCTTGGTTCACGCTCTACGCATGCGGTGCTCGTTTCGAACTGCTGTCCCCTGCTGCTTCGATCTCTCGACACACGGGTCAAGAGTCGCACGAACTGTGGTAGGATAGATTCATCTGCCGGTCGTTTCACCTGCTGTTCTTCTCTTTTTGGGGAATTATTATTACCAGCGGCGAAAGCTTCGGAAGAAATCCGCGTAGCTTTTAATTTTTCCATTCACGAAAAGTTTAACTGGTTACTTTTTTTGTGAAACGAAAAGGAATTAAAGGATTTCCTTGAAAGTAAACTTTCCATGCGAGGCTGTATCTCGCCATGTGAGCGTGCTCAGCGGCTCTTCAATGATGGAGAGGGCCAGCTGTCTATGGCCATGTAGCGCAGACACCCCCATGTTTCTTCCTCTGATTTGCTCCCGCTGTGCTGCTGCTGCTGCTGCCGCGCCGAAACGGTACAGGGCATGCAGCCCGGCCGCTGTTGTTCGGCGGAGGAATTTTTGGATCCTACCCAGCTGTTTCAGTCTGCCGTATTTAATACGTGATACGAGCGGGATACGAGCACCGAATCTTAGATCTGCGCATAATTTCTTCCCCAGTTTTTATTCCGTCCACAAATAAATGACTACTAAAAATGCTAAGAATAAATGGAGATTTTCGAGTAGTTTTAGTGGGATTAGTGGGATGGGAGTACGGATTGGGGCTTGAAGTCAAAAGATAGTTAAGCACGGGCCGGACTCCCTGATCACGCGGCGCCGGATTAGTGGCCAACCACCACAAAGCACGGAGAAATCCGTGCGTTCGAGCCGTTGCCTTTTCGTTTTTCTATCTTTGTTGACCGAAGCGCGCACCCCAATCCAGAAGCGGAGCCGTCGCTCGCTCTCGCTTATCCTATTGTTTTTTCGCCTTCAGACGCGGAACGGGGTGCGCATCTTGGCCGCACGCATCTCGAGGCAGCCTCCTGGCACGTGGGTCCGTGGGGAAAAGTACGCACCCGGCCAGGCGCGTACGGTCCAGGACACCCTGTCCTTGGCCGGCTTGAGCCGTCTGATCGAGATCAGACGGCCGTACGGGTCCCAATCATTGGCCCCACGCCTCCTTCGTTGATGGATGCCCGCTTGGACTCTTCCCTCTTCGGATGTTCTGACCCCAGCTTTGTCTGGTAGAGGCTGGCCCGTGGGGCCCACGACGGGGTAGCTACTGTTCTGTACAACGAGCTGTGTTTGCTGTTTGATTTGTCTGTTCTAGCTGTCGCTGACTGAGTGGGGTCACACCTCAAATCATCGCATGATCTTGGTTCTCATCAATGGTTTGTTTCGCTTGTGTTTCTATTTGCAGGAGAACATCCCCATCGAGGAGGTGTTCGAGCAGCTGAAATGCACGCGCCAGGGGCTCACCTCCGATGAGGGGGCGCAGCGTGTTGAAATCTTTGGTCTCAACAAGCTCGAAGAGAAGAAGGTGAGCGCCACTACTGGTTTCTGATGCAAGTTTGGTGCCTGTTTTCTTGCCTTGTCTCAATTGCTTCCTTGTGGGTCTCGATTTGCAGGAGAGCAAAGTCCTCAAGTTCCTGGGATTCATGTGGAATCCGCTGTCCTGGGTCATGGAGATGGCTGCCATCATGGCCATCGCGCTGGCCAACGGTGGTGGGAAGCCCCCGGATTGGCAGGATTTCGTCGGAATCATCGTTCTCCTGGTCATCAACTCCACCATCTCCTTCATTGAAGAGAACAACGCCGGCAACGCTGCTGCTGCGCTCATGGCCAACCTTGCACCCAAGACAAAGGTGAGCCTGGCACAGAATGCTGTCCTGTTAGGTTGCAATTTTTTTCCATAGTACAGTAGCCATGATATTCTATTGGTCTGCTTCCATTATACTTTTCTAGTTCCCGCTTTCAACTATGATGTACTCCCTCTGTTCCTAAATATAAGTCTTTGTAGAGATTCTACTAGGTGGACTACATACGGAGCAGAACGAATGAATCTAAACTTAAAATGCATCTATATACATCCGTATGCGGTTTATAGTGGAATCTCTACAAAGACTTACATTTAGGAACGGAGGGAGTAGAAGTAAGTTTTGAATGTATCAAATTCCACCATCATGAAAGAAAAATTTAAATTGTTTGTTGAACCTGGATTAGCAATTGCAATTTATTTGGACATAATTACTATAACTGTATAGTACTTTTGTTCTGGAACTGATAGTCAAGCTCCAGCTTTTTTAATTGAGTTCTGTTTGTTTGTTTGCCCATTCTTTTTGTAACATGAATTACTGTTGCTTATTCCAGGTGCTTAGGGATGGTCGATGGGGCGAGCAGGAGGCTTCAATCTTGGTTCCTGGTGACATTGTCAGCATCAAGCTCGGTGACATCGTCCCTGCTGATGCTCGTCTCCTCGAGGGTGATCCTTTGAAGATTGATCAGTCTGGACTTACAGGAGAGTCTCTCCCTGTGACCAAGAACCCTGGGGATGAGGTCTTTTCTGGATCAACGTGCAAGCAGGGTGAGATTGAGGCTGTGGTCATTGCCACTGGAGTACACACTTTCTTTGGCAAGGCTGCTCATCTCGTTGACAGCACCAACCAAGTTGGGCACTTCCAGCAGGTCCTCACTGCAATCGGAAACTTCTGCATCGTTTCGATCGCAGTGGGAATCGTCATTGAGATCATCGTCATGTTCCCGATCCAGCGCCGCAAGTACCGTGCCGGTATTGAGAACCTGTTGGTCCTGTTGATCGGTGGTATTCCGATTGCCATGCCTACAGTTTTGTCGGTCACCATGGCCATTGGTTCTCACAAGTTGTCCCAGCAGGGTGCTATCACCAAGAGGATGACTGCCATTGAAGAGTTGGCTGGCATGGATGTGCTTTGCAGTGATAAGACTGGCACACTCACCCTTAACAAGCTCAGTGTTGACAAGAACCTGGTTGAGGTGTTTGCGAAAGGTGTCGACAAAGAACATGTGCTGTTGTTGGCTGCAAGGGCTTCAAGGGTTGAAAACCAGGATGCCATTGATGCTTGCATGGTTGGTATGCTTGCTGATCCTAAGGAGGCAAGAGCTGGCATCAGGGAAGTGCACTTCTTGCCATTCAACCCTACTGACAAGAGGACTGCTCTGACTTACATCGATGCTGAGGGTAACTGGCACCGTGCCAGCAAGGGTGCTCCTGAGCAGGTTGGTAAAACTATAGAAGTGCAGTGATGCTTCATTACATGTTTGACATTTTAGTTAATTACATTGTTCTTTAACGTGACTAATGAAGACTTGGTATGAAACTTGGAACAGATTATTACCCTGTGCAACTGCAAGGAGGATGTGAAGAGAAAGGTGCACTCTGTGATTGAGAAGTACGCTGAGCGTGGGCTTCGTTCGCTTGCTGTTGCAAGACAGGTACCTTAACTTCTAATACTAAAAATGCTATTTCGGCTGTAGTGGCTGGGGAGTCAATTTCTAATGCCTAGTGAGACTATCACAGGAAGTACCCGAGAAATCCAAGGATTCTCCTGGTGGACCATGGCAATTCATTGGTCTGTTGCCCCTGTTTGATCCCCCAAGGCATGACAGTGCTGAGACCATCCGCAAGGCACTTGTTCTTGGTGTCAACGTCAAGATGATCACAGGTACATACACTGTCATACAAATTTCTTGCTTAGAATTTTGCATGTTTGGTGCAAATTTAGCTAAACATAGTTATGTGATTTATTTCAGGTGACCAACTTGCTATTGGAAAGGAGACTGGTAGGAGGCTTGGGATGGGCACAAACATGTATCCTTCTTCTGCATTGCTTGGCCAAAGCAAGGATGGTTCACTTGAGTCACTTCCTGTTGATGAGCTGATTGAGAAGGCTGATGGATTTGCCGGAGTCTTCCCTGGTATGCTCCATTGCATGCTTATCTGTTTGGTTATGCAATGATGCATTTTGTTAACCTGGTTTGCGTTATGCAGAGCACAAGTATGAGATTGTGAAGAGGCTGCAAGAGAAGAAGCACATCGTTGGTATGACTGGAGATGGTGTCAATGATGCTCCTGCTCTTAAGAAGGCCGACATTGGTATTGCTGTCGATGATGCTACAGATGCTGCTCGAAGTGCTTCCGACATTGTGCTTACCGAGCCAGGTCTCAGTGTCATTATCAGTGCTGTCCTGACCAGCAGGTGCATTTTCCAGAGGATGAAGAACTACACGGTGAGTTTTTTCTTTCAAAGTTGATAATTAGTAACCTTCTAAACAGATGATCACATCACATTCAGACTCAATGCTCTTTTTCTGTCATGTGTTGTGCCAGATCTATGCAGTTTCCATCACCATCCGTATTGTGGTAAGTACCTCAGCGATATTTCTGCCCCACTGATATGCACTTCATATTTCTCCAAATTAATATCACTTCCATTTTGCAGCTTGGCTTTATGCTTATTGCCTTGATCTGGAAATTTGATTTCGCCCCCTTCATGGTCCTTATCATTGCCATCCTCAATGATGGTATGTATTCTTTTGTTGTCCATTAGTAGCCGATGCAGGTACTACGGCCAATGATGGTATGTATGTGAGCATCACTTCTCACATTTATATGAAAATTGCAGGTACTATCATGACAATATCCAAGGACAGAGTTAAGCCATCTCCCTTGCCCGACAGCTGGAAGCTCAATGAAATCTTCGCCACTGGTGTTGTGCTCGGAACCTACCTTGCCCTGATGACTGTCGTCTTCTTCTGGGTTATCCACAAGACAGACTTCTTCACAGTGAGTTTTCAAATTTCTTTGAAAAATATCAGCGTATCTTTGCATCTAAACTTCTGGTAGGTAAATTTCAGTGGGATGTTCTTTCTGACTTAAATTTCTTTGTGCAGAACAAATTCGGTGTCAGGCCAATCAGGGACAGCGAGTTTGAGATGATGTCTGCACTGTACCTCCAAGTCAGTATTGTGAGCCAGGCTCTTATATTCGTGACTCGTTCACGTAGCTGGTCCTTTGTTGAGCGCCCTGGTTTCCTCTTGGTTACCGCCTTCCTTCTTGCACAATTGGTACGTGAAGAACAGTTTATCTGCAAAGAAAGAAATTCAGGACAATCGAATCCTTAGCTGAACCTTCTTGATGCAGGTTGCAACACTCATCGCTGTCTATGCCAACTGGGAGTTTGCAAGGATCAAGGGAATCGGGTGGGGCTGGGCTGGTGTTATCTGGCTCTTCAGCATTGTGTTCTACTTCCCACTTGACATTTTCAAGTTCTTCATCCGATTTGTGCTGAGTGGAAGGGCCTGGGACAACCTCCTGCAGAACAAGGTACCAAGTCGAACCATATCTCTGTGTCAGCACCTTTATTTTTAGGTACACGTACATCCTGGAGCAAATGATGACCCTCTGATCCTTGTTGTGCAGACTGCTTTCACCACCAAAGAGAACTACGGCAAAGGGGAGAGGGAAGCACAATGGGCTACTGCACAGAGAACACTCCATGGCCTTCAAGCACCCGAGCCGGCCTCCCACACACTGTTCAACGACAAGAGCAGCTACCGTGAGCTCTCTGAGATCGCTGAGCAAGCAAAGAGAAGAGCTGAGATTGCAAGGTATATTATCTTTGTGCTTCCAAATTGCTAATAGATCAGACGAGTCAGGCTAGTCGTTGATTGCTAATGCCCTTTTTCCTGATGATTATCTGCAGGTTGAGGGAGCTCAACACACTCAAGGGCCACGTTGAATCCGTGGTGAAGCTCAAGGGCCTTGACATCGACACCATCAACCAGAACTACACCGTGTGAGGAAATTCGACATTGAACCAACAAACATGACATCCGTATTGGAGCGAGATTGGAATGGAGCTCCGCTTTAAGATTTTTCCGGTGAATGAATGAAACAAACATGGCTGATCTGACCAGCCCCTAGTTGTAAAGTGCTACCAAATATATGGTTTCGGTTGTCCGTCTTCTAGAGAGGTTTTAATGTTCTAGTGGAGTTATACCGTGTTTGGAGCACGGCGTGGTTGTAATCGTTTTCGCGTTTTACCCAGTTTCCCCTAACTAGTCGGTGATCTTGCGGAAGCAAGACGAGAAATAATCACTGCAAATTTTCTGCCCCATGCTTGCTATCCCTTCACTTGGGTTTATACAAAGACAATTCTCGTCTATAAATATCATAGCTGGCTTTTCTGCAATGGAGTTTCAAAGTGTTTTTTCTACCGCACTAGGAGTACATATTTACAAGCACAATTTGGCATGAGCTTACGATTGAAATGTTTATATGTGGTTAGCTACACGGAGGGAGTAATTGTGTAAATAAGCGTAGCTGGTTGTGGTGCGCCAATCATACTTGGTGATTCTATACGCCAGACGAGGACAGCGGTACGAATTCCATCTCATCCCCCGAACAAAGCGGGCGAAAAGCAAGCTGTAGATAAATTGTTCCTTGCAAGGCGAGTTAGCCGCCGCCTCGTCATCCTCACAAAATGCTTGGAAGCAATAATACCGACTATTCTTCACAGCACAGAAAGCTCTTCCTGCTGCCCTCCTCCACACAATTTTATACACAATACAGTACTCTCTACATCCCAATGGAGGAGAATCTTTCCGAGGACGAATCCGACCCACCACCACTTCACAAAGAGAGATAGGGTCGAACCTGTTCACTGCACCCACGGTCGCCATTCCCACACTTTCGTTGTCTTTCCCCGCTCGCTTTCGGAACCGGATCCAAAGTCCGATCGCCGTACCCGCACGACGTCTATCAAAGAGCATGCGCGCGCGTACGTGGCAGGCGCTCCACGGCGTCCGTACACCGGCCGGCGCCGGCTGAGAAGCAGCGGCCCCCGAGCCGTAGTCCTCGGTCTCCGGTCTCTTCAGAGACCGCGGCGCACGCGTGCAGCAGCAGAGCATGGCAGCAAGCGGTGCACTCTGGCAGTACAAACAGCGACGTCCCAGCCGCCTCCCCGGGGGCGTGTGGCGGGTGCGGCCGTCGGGTTCCCATCGTATCCCGATACGATATCCTCCCCTCGATCGCTCGCCACCGATAGTGCGCGTCGCTGCTGTCCGTCTGTCCTTGGCGGTAGGCGCGGGCATCATATCGATCGTCTCCCCATCCTCCCCCCTAGGTACAGGCTGCGCCCCCCCACCCCCAGAAAAAGTCGGATTCCCGATCCCGTTTCTGTTGCTCCCGCGGTGCAGTGGCTGGGCTGGCCCAAAGTGGCCGGTCACGCACGCATCGTATTATTGCGCGCCCGCGCGCACCACACGGGCCTGTCGCGTCCCCCCAATCATCACATCATCCTGTTCCCGTTACTCTGCCTGTGCCGTCCGATCGCTTTCCGCTTTGCCGCTGCTACACCGAGTGAGAAAAGATGGCCTGCCGGTGCCGGTCACCTCGCCCGTCCCGTCCTGTCACCGCCATGGCGCCATCCCCGTGTCCTTTGCAAGTTCGCACCGCAAGATGGCCCGCCGGTCCATGGCGTGGAGTGCGGGTTCACGTCCCTGGCAGACCAGGTGTCGTTAAGTCGTTTGCTTTGCCAACGGTGTGTGTTTAGTCGCCACTCTGCTCTCCGGTCAGTGGACGACACAACGACCTCGTGACCGTCACGACACGTCGCTAGGACGGACGGCGTTGGCGTCACGACCGACTAACCACCAGACCAGATCAGCTCTCGTGAACCCGAGTCCTTTCTTTTGGCAAAAGCGTGATTGAGTGAGTGCGTGCACACAACGGTGCTAACATTGTTAAGATTTTCCTGATGGGGTGTCGCCCTTTTGATGAGGTGACCGGAGGAGCTTAAAAGAGGGGGCAGCCGTAGCCGCGTCCGTGCGCACGCAGGATTAGATAGAACTCTACTGATCAGGAGATGCGGGTAGGGGTGCTAGCTGGGAATGATGGCTGGTTCTTCAGATCAGATTAAGCGAAAGCAAGTGTGCATTATTGCAACTGTCCGGCCAGTGCAGGCGGGGGAGACAGGGACATGTTGGCTAGGTCCAGATCGGCATCATCTTGGTTTGATTAAGCGACTGGACGAGCTCCGGCGACCGGGCATCTCCTTCCCGTCCAGCGTCGCGGCCAAGCTTCGTCTTGGCTGGTAGTGCCGGCGGCCGGTGATGCCGGTTCTTGGGTGAATGGTGGACGATGTGTACGTGAGAAGGTTCGCGTCGCCTCTGTGTGTGGAGTAGAGGCTAGCTACGACTACGGGGATATATACGAATACGACCGGACACGGACAGGAACACAGCCTGCTCGCGATTCCAAAGCAGGAATCCAACAGGGGTGTGTTGTTCCTATCTGCGTTTGGGATTGATCAGGAAGAATTGTTGCATGGAAATATCGGTGTTTTGCCCTTCTCCTCCGTTGCTGAGGGCAGAAAAATGTCTACCTTTTGAGATGAGCAAAAAGTGCAGAAAATAGTAAAGGGCGAGCTCGAGCGCCGTGTGTCGTTCTGCGCACCTAATTACTGGGTAAAAATCTTACGCTAGTACTATAAGCTTACTATCCAGTACCCTGAGGCAGATAGCTAACATCAGCCTAGTCCACACCAAAATGGAGCAACTGATGTGGGAAACTTTAGCATAGTCCACATCTATCGTTCTGCGCAAACTAATTACTGAACAAAGAAGACCACTTTTATTTTTTGGAGACAAACAAAGAAGACCAACTGGAACTGACACCAATTTGGAAGAGCCGCAACTTTATTCTGCTGGAAAATAGGCTGTATGGCCCAAACCAAACACTCTCGCCGGAGCAGTAGAATGGGCCAACATCTGAGATTTCCTAGTATCATCTATTCTCTGCCTAACAGAGGCAAAATAGGCCGAAGGCACCCACGAAATAATTGGCCGGCCCATCCGGTGCTTCGGCTCAAGGTTAAATTCTACCTGAGTATATCTAGCAATAAGGGCGAATCGGGAGCTCCTAACTGGCGCTTTTAGCGCCGCCAAACGAAACCGGCGCTCCCGCCCATCTAAGCTGCCGTGCTAACACGAGTTGGTTTTGTTCGACAAAAACCCCAGTTTTGTTCAATAAAAAATGTGGTCCTGTGAGGATTCGAGCTACCGCCGTCAAGGTCCTGCGCATGTTGCCTAACCAGTAGAGCTACTGGATGTTACATTACAAAACAATTAAAACGTTGCTGCACTATTTCTTGCACATACATTTCAGAAAAAACGTGATTTTTTTGGAAAAAAAACCGAACAAAATATTAAAACAATCACGACTTTGAATGAAGTTCATATATTCAAAACAATTTATGAATTAGGAAAAAGTTTATCTATTTTTAGAAAAGGTTCACAAAATTTCAAAAAAATCGTTGATTTTGAGAAAAAGTTCATTGATTTTCAAAAAATTTCATTGATTTTGAAAAAAAGTTCACCGAAGTTTTAAAAGAAGTTCACCAATTTTCAAATAAGGTTATTGATTTTGAAAAGAAGTTCACTGACTTCCAAAAAAGTTCATCGATTTTGAAAAAGGTTCACAAACTTCAAAAGTTTATCGAACTTCAGAAAAAGTTCATCGAATTCCAAAAAATAACACCAAATTTGAAAAGGTCATCTAAGTTGAAAAAAGTTCATCGAATTTAAAAAATAGTTCACCGATTTGGAAAAAATGTTCATCAAATATGATAAAACAATTCATCAATAATTGAAAAAGTTCATCGGATATAAAAATAGTTCACCAAATTTTAAAAAGTTCATCGAATTTGAAATAGTTCATGAAATAAAAAAAAACTTCATCCAATTTGGAAAAGGTTGATTGATGTTGAAAAAAAATCATAAATGGAAAAACCATCAATTTAAAAAAAGGGAAAAAACCCAAATAAAAACTGCCCCAGAAATGGTGAGGAACTGGGAAAAAATCCAGTTTGGGAAGTTTCTGGAAGCTTCCCAAAACCGGAGGATTCCTACGAGTGAAGAGAAGAAATAAAACAAATAAGCTATAAATCACTAGTTGGGTGCGGTGGTTGCTAGCCTTGGAGATTACAACGTGCATCATTTTTGAACCTTCTTACCGGCCCATCTCGCCAGCGGTGGGCGTGCGCTGCAAGCGCCTGTTTATGATCGGGCGCTTAAGCGCCAAATAGGATTCGCCGGGAAAATCCTAACCGGCACTCGTAGCGCCCATTATAGTGTGAATGGTACACGGCCCACACGACCCCCTCCCCGATTGGCCAACCCATGTTCATTTTTTTCCTTTGTAAACTGCTGCAATAAATAGGCATTGAGAAGAATTCGATCTCGAGCCGCCGAGGTACAACGCACCACTCGGTAACCACACGAGCTAGTTGAGATCAGCGATAATCCCCAGCTTCTTGTTTCTTCTATTCTTTATTTTTTTTCCTTTTCCTTTTCCTTTTTCCTTTTTACTTCTTCTTTCTTCTTTTATTTATTCTTTTCCTTTTCCTGTTTTCTTTCATCTTTTTATTTTTTCAAATTTGATATAAAAAGGTCACCAGATTTTATGAACTTTTTTTCAAATTGGTGAATTATTTTTTAAATTCGATGAACTTTTTTCAAATTAGATGACCTTTTTTCAAATTTTGTGTTCTTTTTTGGAATTCAATGAACTTTTTCTCAAGTTCGATAAACTTTTTTTGAAGACTGTGAACCTTTTTCAAAATCGATGAACTTTTTTGAAAGTCGGTGAACTTCTTTCCAAAATTCGAATGAACTTTTTTTCAAAATCAACGAACTTTTTTGAAAATCGGTGATCTTCTTTCAAAATTTGATGAACTTTTTTGGCAAAATAAATGAACTTTTTTGAAAATCGATGAACTTTTTCTCAAAATCAACGATTT